GGCGGCACCTCTTGCCCGGGCTCGGCTGTCGGTGGCACCCCAGCCCCCCCTGCTTTAACTGCCTGCCTCTGTCCCCCCTTCTCCTAGATCCTGGCCCAAGTGTTCAGCCGTGCTGCCCTGGAGAGCTACCTCCCGCGGATCCAGAAGGTTGTGAGCTGGGAGCTGCGGGGCTGGTGCATGGAGCCGGGCTCCATCGCAGTTTATTCCTCCGCTAAAACCTTAACTTTCCGCATTGCAGCTCGGATTCTGCTGGGACTCCGTCTGGAGGAAAAGCAGTTCAAGGACCTGGCCAAAACCTTTGACCAGATGGTGGAGAACCTCTTCTCCCTGCCCCTGAACATACCCTTCAGTGGGCTGCGCAGGGTGCTGCCGCCTGCCCCGCTCCCTCTGAGCTGGGACGCAGGCCTGGGCCCCACAGCACGCACCCCTGGGTCCACAGGCCCCAACATATGGACTCTGATGGGCCTCCTCTGCGGTGCCCTGTGCCGTGCTGAGGCCTCAAAGTGCTGCCCACCCCAGCTGCCCCTCTGGCCTCTCTCCTCCTCTCGCCCGCTCCTGCTTGCTTCCAGCACCTCGCTGTGCTGGCTCCAGCTCTTCGTTGTACAGCACGGAGCTGCTATGCACCTTGCTGGAGCCTTTTCTCCAGGGTGGGTTTCAGCTCCTCTGAGGCTCTATTTTCTGCTAAGCCGCTTGTCAGTCCCCTTTTGCTCAGGTTATCGGCATGCCTATTGCCTGCTCTCCTCCCCCGATCCATACATTGCCTGTGCTGGCTCTGGTTAATCCTTCACATCTGGTCCTGTCCCATCTCATCCCACCTGGGCTCATGCCAGCCCATGGCAGAGGGGGTCTGTGGGCATGAGGAAATGGCAGGTGGCCACAGCAGGGACCTCTCTGTGCACCTCAGAGCAGGCTGAGGACGCCAGACCCACATACAGTCCTTGTCTCCCAGCAGCAGAGGGGCAGCGAGGAGTCCTGGAGGGGAACATACCAGAGGGACAGTCTGCTGCCTCTTCAAACCCACCATTTTTTCCCTGCTGGATTGCCCTTTTTGACCTGCCTCCCCATGCTCCTGTTCCTAGTATTGGTCCTGTGTCCCACTCCTCTCCCATTCCAAGCTCCTTTCTCTCCTCAGGCTTTAGGTTCTCCACCCCTCCAGGCCCTCTCCTGCTGTAGCCCAGGTCTCCTGGCTCTTTCAGCAAGGTCTTGTCCAATTTCTGATTTCCACTCTGAGCTCTACCCCACCAGATCACCTTCCTCAGCCAGTCCTACTTCTCTCCCAGCTTCCTCGCAGCTCTTCTACATCGGTTCACAGCTCTTGTTTCCTTGTCCACAAAGTTTCCCCTTGCAGGTTGCTACCAGTGTGAGCTTTCACCACCCCTCCCATCTCTCCCTGTCATCTCTCAGGTCAGGCACAATCTATCTGGCCCTAAACCAGCCTCTTCAACTTGCATTTAGCTCCCCTTTTCCTTTACATTGCTCGCTGTTCCATTTCCTTTGCCTGGTCTTTTCCACCTCTTCTCTCAGCCCTTGCATCTTCTTCCTAGCTTCTGGTCATGGCCACTCTTCATCCCAAACCTCTATTCCCGCTGGCTTTTGAGGGCGGCATCACGCTACAGAGCCACACTCTGTGAATCAGTTCATCCCCACTTTGCACAGAGATTGTGTCTCACTTGACTCGCTGAGATCTTCTTAAATGTTTTGCTGCATAGAACAAATCTACTGGAGATTAGTTGAGTGTGATTAACATATCCTTAGCTAATATATCCTGAAAAGGTCACTCATTTGTTACTGTGTCAGATGTTCCTTGCTTCCTGGACTCAGTTTTATTAAGTCACCTCTTCTTGTTCTTTGGGCAAGCCTCCTTTGGACCTAACAAGACTGTGAGTTTGTTCACTGCAGGCTCCTCTGGGATCAGTACTGTGGGTTTACTGCTGTCTTTTCCCCACAGAGTGTTTCTTGGGACTTGATGTATTTGATTCACAACAGAAAGCCAAAAGAATTTGCAGCAGTTTAACCAAAGACAAAAGCATTTCACCAGACCACTACTTCTTGCAAGGCTTTGGGGCTGGGCAACGGATCAAATGGTTTTTGCCGTTACCAATCCTGGGATTAAAGATGACCACATTTGGGGTCCCCACTCTCTCTGGGTGGGGGGCGGTTCTTCAGGCTCTCCTGAACTATGTCTGCCTTCCACAGGGAATTAGAGCACGAGACATGCTACACAAGTATATGGAGAAGGCTATACAGGAAAAACTGCAGAGCGACAACTCAGAAGATCATAGTGATGCTCTGGATTTTATAATAAACAGTGCCAAGGAGCATGGCAAAGAATTCACGATGCAGGAGCTGAAGGTAACGAGACCCCCCCCTTTCCAACCTGGTGGCTGTTTGGGTGATCTGGGTGGAGGAGCAGGAGGAGAGTTATGCAGGGTCCCACATCGAGCTGCTGGCTTGTGCCCTCCTCTTATCAACTCTGAGGACACCACCTCCAAAGAGAGCAAGAAAGCTTGCACTCGGTGTGCTCTGCTATGTGCCTGCCCTTATGTGCCCACGAAAAACAGCTCATCTTCCCTATTGAAAGAAACACTCCAGAGACTGAAGAGGGCTGAGGACCTCACCTGGAGTAGGTTCTGGAGCAAAAGCAGGTGTGTAAACAGCTCTTAGCTCTCAGGCCAGCACACGAGGTGGTAGGCAGCATGCTGCTTATATGGTCTGGTAGGATTACATTTCTTTGCATTAGAACAGAATCGGTATTTAAAAAGCAAATAAATGCTCTTTAACCTTTCCTCCTCGTTGCCTCCTGGCTTCAGCCTGACTTAGAGAGCATGCTATCAGGGTTATGCAGCTGTGATAAGGCTCTGTACATCACAGTGTACTCAATAACCTCCAGATGCTATTATCTTGGAAATATTAGAGCTAGTAACGTGCTCCTTGAACACCCCTCAACATCTAGCATAGCAAGGCCTATCGATAATGTCCCTATGTTCCTCAGGGCTCTGAGCCCAGAAATTTCTGAAACAATACCCCAAAATTGGTCCAGATGTGAGATGATGGATTGTGGGTCATTCCCTATCACCTAGTCATTAATTATATCATGTAGCTTGTGGATTTTTATGCTGAGACCACGAACAGGCGAAAGCCCCATGACTTAGGGACAATTCCAGCAGTCCTTAGAGAGGCAAAAATACCAACTGGAAGTGAAGGGCATTTTGTCAAACAACCTGGGAATAAATTGTCCTTAGGATCACATCATTCATACCTCCAGGTCATTCTGTGTCAGTGACAAATACGAGACTAGATTTATATGACAAGCTTTGAAACTGTTTTGCATGGGTACAATAGCTGAATATTGTTTAAAATTAATAAACACACACAGTATTACTGATTTTTTAGATATTTAAGGAAACTGTCTCAAGACAAATGTTTTTCACAAATCTGTAAAGAATTCTAAAGTATTTGAAAGACACTACAGAGACTACTAGATACAATTAGAATGAGTATATATTATAAAACGAAACAGAAAAACCTAAGGCAATAATTGCCAAATCAAAACTTGATTGCTTAGGATTGATTAATCGCTGTTAGTATGCACATGTACATCACACATCATGTCTCTGGCTCTGGTCACAAATAGACAACAACAGTAGGATGTTAAATAGAACACGTAGGGAAATGTCAGTGACTTAGAAGGACTCAGCCAGGTGATTTGGATGACAGTGAGCTGCAAGCCGTCTTATACTCTGTACAGTTACAAACTTTCTACGTTGTCTGTATTTAACAAAATTACTTGCAAACCACTCTGCATATACTTGTAAATATGGTAACATTATTCACTATAATAATACAGAGTAGAGCTCTCATCTACTGAAATGGTTAGTTGGGGTCAAAAATTCAGAGCTGACTTCAAGTCATGGATATGTAACTTTGAGAGACCCCAAACACTAACAGACACTAGTTCAGTCCGCTTTTTGTTCAGTTTGAAGGAAGACGTTGCATTCTCCCGGATACGCTGTGATTTGCACTGGTGGCATGAACTCAGCAAGGTGGCATGAACTCAGTAAGCAAATATAAAGGTTATTAAAAAGTGAAGCACTTTGCCAAAGTACTATCTTAAAAAGTTTAAAACCTTGGAAGATTTAAAAAAAAAAAAATCCCTGCATAGAAGCAGCTGTCAATGACTGAGTTGGTGGGACAGGTATGCTGACCTGCCTGTATCCCCAGTGGAGAGCTGGGCTTTAGCACAGGGCAGTGCTGACAAAGATGTGGAAGGATGCAGCCTCCAAATCATCAGTTATGTTGGCATTATAAAGGCAGAGAGAAAGTGAGCAGCTCAGCCTCACAGCTTACATAGCAGCAGCACTGTTGGAGGTCGATGCAGGCAGTCGTTAAGAGCTATTATTTCAATAGGCAGCGCCTGCCCTGAATTCCTCTCATGGTACTGAAATGTCTTGTTTTTTAATTGCACAATATGGATCTAAGAGATTTATTTTCATCCGTGTCTCTTATCTTGCTGTGAATGTGGTGTCTGCAGGAGGTGTGGTAGGCAGCGAGTGGGAAGGGGGAACTGTCATTTCAGGACTTTTATTCCAGCTGAAGATGTCCTTGGGAGCTGCACTCTGGCAAAGGCCCGTAGTCCAGCCCATACATGGTGCTGGGGACCAGTAGCAAAGAATAATCTTTGTTATATTACCCATGGCTTTCCTGAGTTGGTTCCCGGTACCTTAAGGCTTTAGGTGTCCTTTCTGGTGTTTTTGGCTTCTCCACTCCAGAAGCAGTGTCAGAACAATTTCAAATTGAGATATACGCAGATGTGTGAAAGGAAACTGCTCAGTTTCCCTCAGCGGTTTTGGCTCTGCTCTGTCACTGGCGTGAGCGATGTGTGCTCAGCTGGGCCAGCCAGGTCCCAGCACCGCCCAGGCTCTCGGCCCCTGGGCTTCTCCCTTGGCTTTTGCGTTGTCCTTCAGCCCCAGCGCTCTCAGCCCTGTGGCGTGGTGCCACGGAGACTTTCAGATAATGCTGTAAGTTAAATCCTGACTATACTGAAGCCAAGCAGAGTTTGGTGGGTTTTCCCCCCCTCCTTGAGATGTCATTGGGGTCCAGGGTTCGTTGACATTATTCTGTTTAGTTTGCTGGTGTTGGAAGGGATTGAGAAGCTTAGAGCGGTTCCTACCATGTTGTTTTCCTGTTGCCTTTTGCCAGTGGCTGTCCCTCTCTGGAGTGACTGCAGCACTATGAGGGGAGCGTGTTGTGCATCCCAAAGAGCAGCTGGCCGCTAAGGCTTTGACTAGAAGACATGTATGAGGGTTGCCCCAGGAGAGGACACTGTCAGGTGCAAGCAGTGAAGTAGCTGCCTAATGCTCAGCCATATTTGTAAATAAAGTAAACAGCAACAGTTTAAGTCTTAAACCTAAACATTTTCATTCTGGCTTAGTGAAAGGAGGGGAAAAATGGGATGCTCGTTCTGCAACTTTGCCTGAGTTGGTTCCTAGCCGCTCTAGCCATAGGCAACGTAGCTAAGTTAGCAGGCTGTCAAGAGCCTTTAACTTTTGGAGAACTATTTTCCAGTTTATCGCAGGGCACTGCAAACAGCCCACAGCACCCTGGTGAGGCTGGGGGTCGGTGATCCAAGGCAGAGTGAACTATGGATATGGCTGTGCTGTGATATATTTGAGCTGGTTAACCTCCAAACTCTATTTATGGACACCTCTGCTGTGGAGCTATCAGGAACACTGCCATCCTTCAAGCTGTTAGACTTAAAAAAGCAAGCAAGTCCTTTGCCTGAGTTGTAGATCCCAATGGAGTAGCTCCCTGCCAGCTACTGGACCTCCTGGGCTGACTTGCTATAGCACATGCTTTTCTGCTTTCACTCTGTTGGCTTGAGTCCCCCTCCACACAAGCAAATGGTTTTAACTGGAGATGGATCAAATGCAACCTGTCTTAGCTGCCAGGGCACCTAGCACATATACATCAACATGCAGCCTCATAACCCCCAGCTGGCCAGAAAGGCAAAAGCTGGGCACAAAGAGGAACTGGCAAATGAAAAAACTTAATGCTTACAGTGAGCTTTACTTAGTAGGCTAAAATGCATGTTAAAATGTTTGTTAAAATCCGTAAGCCTTGGGAGGACTGCTCAGAAGGGCTGGGCTGGAGGTGATGGGTACTCATCTCAGCTGGGTTTCTGCATCAGTTCCTTGGAGAGTAGATGTCCAGTTCATCCATTTCTGTATGAAATTTTGGTCCCTGCTGACCCAGGGTGGGTGCAGGTTTGTGGAGAACAGCGGAGAAGCCCAGGGCTCTGCACAGGGATGAAACTTGCCAAGGCGAAAACAGTCTGAAAATTCAATCACAGCCAGGTTAAAATGGCTTTCAAACCTGTCACCTTCCCTCCTCTTCCAGGAGTCAGCGATAGAGCTCATATTTGCCGCTTTCTTCACCACGGCTAGTGCCAGCACCTCTCTGATCCTCCTGCTGCTAAAACATCCCTCAGCAATCGAAAAAATCAGGCGGGAGCTGGCGTCCCACGAGCTGTACAGGCAGTGCCAGTGCTACCCCACGGGACCCTGCCCGGACTCCCTGACAGCCCAGGGCAGCGACAGGAGGAAGCGCCTGCTCCTCACCACGGCCAGAGACGCTTGCAAGGACCAGAGCCAGCCTCCGGGCGCGATGGAGG